GGCTCCTCTTCTCAAAATCTCTCTCTTACCACGGAGGCGGCAGCTGAGATTGCCCCTGAAACGGTACATAATGAGACAACATAAGTGCCTTCCCTGTTTGCCTGTTTTTTTTTTACACACGCGAACCTGAGTCTTGGCAGCATTTCACGAAGGCCTCTGGTTATCTGTTAGAAGCCTTGACTGCGACCTTAGCTAACCATCAGCCCATTTTAGACGATACATTTCCAAATACTACAGTAGTTCACCAAAGATGTAGGGAATTTGATGCGTTGACTAGACGTTTGTCAGGAGAAGTGGATCATTGGGCTGCTCATTTGATCTAGACAATTAACACGGACCGATATCTGGCGCTTTATTTATTTGGTATTAAATTACCTCTTGAGTCTTTACTTCTAGGCCGATTTCGTCGCAGATATTTTCTTTTTTTTAAGGTTTCAGAGGTATCCGTTTGAAGGGGACAACGAGAAGCGGGGGGACGGGGGGTGGCAGATGTCCCCTTCGTGTGCATTCTCACGTTTCGTCTTCTTCGCACCAGCGTATCCATTGACTGAATGGGTGCCTAGATGCGTTTTGGTGTGACTGGTTGTCGGTAATTTCTTGTGTAAGCCAGTTTCACAGGTTTTTTGGTGAGGATAGAAAACAGTATCTTTGAGAACCCTTTTATTTATAGGCCGTTGCGTCATACACATATACAAGCGCAGCCCTAAAAGTTTCTTTCTTAACATGATATTCACAAAGTATAAGCAGGATTGTTTTTACAAATAACTCCTGTCTAGAGTCTGCGCAAAATTAGTTTGGGCCGGATTGTCGGGAGAAAACAGGGGACATTTATAATTATCCAAGCGTTTCTTAAAGGGCTCTAGGGACGTCGCCTCCACGATGGATTGCGTGATATCATTCCGAGGGTTCCTGCTGCAATATCAGAACATCTTGGAGTTGTTTCCGTGTACTAGTCTCATCCTTTCAGTCGGACGAGGCGACCTCAATTATACTCGAGTTCTACAAGGAAAACTAAAAAGGACTCCCTTGGTATGATCTCTAGTGGGTCATTTCTTACAGTGGAAAAGATTATTGTCGAAGTTGTATGTATGCAGTTTGTTGACTGGATGATAACTCCAGTCTGCATCTGATTCCAGGTCCTAGTTATCTAATGGGTTTTAGCTTTTGATTTGCCAAATATACGCCTTCAGCCCCTCCCTCCGTGAGCACTTCCTCTTTTTTTGGCATCGTGTTTGGTAGTCATTTGTTATTCACAACCATTAATAGCCGACACATGATGCCAATTGAGACGGTACATACTGTTTGAGGTAAGTCTAACGTCTATCGGCTTGGAACAAGTGAGCAGTCGTCTGTTCACTTCTCCTTCTGCCTGCAACTATGTAAACGACCTCTTTTGAACTATTCTGCTGTACGGAAGCATTTCTTAACGGCTATGTGCCAATAGGGAATTCAAGGACATTTGCCTCTATTCCCCTTAATAGACCAGACCTGGCGGTTGACTCTTTCACCGCAGGATGCAGCCAAAAACTGATTGGCCCTTGAGTGTGTTGTCGGGCTTCTGATCCATACGCACAGGAGACGTGGCTTTCCCCATTCCGTTCCCGCCGTATATCTTCGGCACGTGTATAGTAAATAGGGCTTCGTGCTCTTTCTGCCTACGTAGTACTTGTTTTCTAAAAAGCAGTTTACCTCGCCTCACTAGGACATAATTTGGCGATTGGGATCAGTTATCGTCCCATGTATAAGTATCCTACCTTGAAAATAATACTGACTTACCGCTTGTGATACTCCATCGCCGATGCATTTCTTTGCAAGTAAGCCTTTCTTGCAACTGTTTCCTGCTCATGTCTCTGATGATGAATTCGCTACGGATGTCGAAACTTCAGGCGAGTAAACGTATTGTCCCAGCGATCGAGTCGTCTTCTTCTCAAGTAAGCCTTTGTCGAACGCATATTTTCTTTAGGTCCTGATAGATGTGATATGCACTAGTGCCTGGAATCTGTTGTTGTGTTGACCTTTTCGTCAAAATTTCTTCTCTTTCACAATAATCCACCAAGGACTTGTACTAACTGTCCCGCCTTCCTATTTCCTCACTTTTGCAGCCCAGTGGCAGTCTTTCAGGCGTCGTCAAGGAGCCCCTTTCCGTCAGCGCGTCGTTTGTGCCGGCTGCAGAACCGGACATGCTTGAGGAGCCACCAGTGGCCGGTCCCTCCTCCTCCTCCTCCTCTGCGGTTTTGGTGTCAGAACAGCCGCCCGAACTGCCCTGCTTTCAACAGGCTCTCTTCACCCAGGAGAAGTTTCTTTCCCCGGCACCGCCGCGGAAGCCCACGGAGCTTATGGCATTTCATATCTTCCAGTTGGCCAAATCCGTCCGCTTGGTTGCGGGTGGACCCAGTGCTAGTGGTTCAGTCTTCATAGCC